AGCTAGAAATGTTCTGATTTCACCATCATATTTGAGGGACAATTTTACTGGGTACAAAATTCTTGGTTGGAGATTTTTTTTTTTTTTCATGGTTTTATATATAGCATCCCAATGTCTTCTCACCTGCATGGTTTCTGCTGAAAAATCTAAGCTTAGTCTTACTGGTTGCCCCTTGTAGGTAACTCTTCATTTTTCCCATGCTGTTGTCAGGATTCTTTCTTTGTCTTTGGTTTTGTTGAATTTGATGAAGATATGTCTTGGCGATTTTCTTTTGGGGTCTATCCTGTTTGGGGTTCGTTGAACTTCTTGAATGGATATATTCTCATCTTTCATCATACCAGGAAAATTCTCTTCCAACAAATCTTCGACAATTTTACTGTGGATTTATTTGTCTCTTCCTGTTCAGGAATTCCAATTATATGTAGGTTATTCCTTTTGATGGTATCCCACATGAACCCTAGGCTTTATTCATTTGGTTTGATTTTTTTCTGATTGATCCCTTTCCAAAGAAGTATTGAGGTATTTGCCTTCAATCTCACTAATTGTGTCTTCCATTGATTCAATTCTACTCCTTTGCCCATTCAATGTGTTATCTATTTCTGAGAATTTAGTATTAATCTTCTGGATTTCTGTCTGTAGATTTTGTATCATTTCTAATTTTTCATTTATTTTGTCATTTTGTTATTGTATTGTCATTTGAAATTGTTCTAGGGTTTTCTCTGTGTTTTCCTCAATTTTGTCAGTGATTTCCTTGATCTATCTCTCAATTTGTTGAAGGTACCTAAACTCAAATTCTTTTAAATTGCTTATCGGAGTTCCAATACTGCATCTTCCTCAGGGATATGTTTTGGGTTTGTATCCTGGCCCCTTGTTTCTCTTGCTTTATTTTGCTTCTTTGTGTGGACTATGATGCTCTGTTGTCTCTGAGGCATTATGACTTTTTTTGTTGTTTGCATTTAATTGGTGATTGTATGTTGGAGTGACTTGCCTATGACTTTTGTTTTGTTTGTATGTTATCTATGTAGGTAGGGTACTATGCTGTGCTCCTCTATTTGCTAGTTGGTAGCACTTATACACTCACCACATGTCTCTTTTCCCATTAACAGTCTCCCATATGTCCCTGCCATCCTTGGCAAACAGAGCCTATTCTTAGGTCCCTGGAATCCTAATTAGAATGCTGTCACTTTAAATATCCAAAACAGCCACCACTTGTAAACATTCAAAATGGCTGCACCTTCAGTCACCTTAAATATCCAAAATGGCCACCACGTGTAAACAATCAAAATGGCTGCACCCTCTGGACAGCTGAAAGTCCACAGCTCAGATTATCTGCCTCCTTGCTATTTCCCTTCCTAGTCATAGGCCACCGACGCAGTCATCTCTGCCTCCCTTGGTGACCAGGGCTGATCTTTAGATAAATTCTCAGGTCCCAACACCACTTGGAAATATTCAGGTTGTTGGTCCTGTCAGAGTAGCTTATAGTCCACTGCTCTAACCCTCTTCATACTCACTGGTTTTGTTCAGGTTTTTGCAGTAGTTGGTTTCTCATCCGCTTCTGTATGCTTCCTTTCAAAGGTCAGAGCTCCAGGATAATCTTCTATATCTCTATCAATTGGTTTCTCTCTTCTTTGTTGAAGAAGGTCAGTGTAGCTTGTCTGACTATTCCTCCATTGTACTGGAAGTCAGTATAACCAAATATTTAATTAAAGATTTAAACAGGAAAAGGAAAAAAAAGTAGTGATAGTGGATTGATTCAGAGAAAGATGCCTGCACTGGAAGACAGCATTCCTGAACACAAATTAATAAATATTCTTGTCATGCTTGAGAATGGGTTCTCCTTCCCACTTAGAATATAATCATTCTTAAGTTAACCCCTCAAAAATATTTTAAAGAAGTACATTCTAGTAACCTTTTATTATAACTGTGTTGGACAACTTACTCTGAATGATTTCACTTATTTGAAATTAATTTTGTCTTGTTTTATGACCAGCATATGTTCCATGTTAGTAATACTTCAAGTGCCCTTAAAAACAATGCTTATCTTGAAATTGTTGGGTACTGTGATTCCTTTATGTCCATTTGGTCAATTTACATAATTGTATTTTTCAAAGTCTATATTCTTCCTTAATTTTTGTATTCTGCATTTACCTGTTATTTCAGGACTACCATGGTTGTGGTATCATGGCTTACTGAAGAAACATCTTGCTTTACTTTTGGAATAATTTGTACCAAATCATCAGCTCTGTGCTTAATAAAGCAGAATTTTTATTTGTTTCTTTTGCATAATATACCTTCCTTCTTTTCCCTTTTCTATTCCTTCTTGTTTAAGAACTCTTTTTTCAGTAAGAAATAGTTTAGTCTTCAACCTAGTCTGACATATTACATATTTTATTTAGATTAGCTCTTTTATATTAATTTTATTTTTCATGTATTGAGATTCCGAGCCACATACAATTTTGTAGCTATTTAATTCAATTCCTATGTGCCTTCTTTCTTTTTCATTTGTGCCTTTTTTGGTGAATGGTGTAGGAGTAATACAATGGTTTGCAATACAATTTTTAATTTTTATAAGAAATTATGTTAGCAATTTCTTTAGAGAGCTTAATTTTCATTCTTGATTTACTGCTGCTTAATTCTATTTATATTATAGGAATTTCAATGCATTTGTTTCAGTGTGACGTACAATCAATACCACATACTTCACTTATATTTCAATTATCTTTATTCCTTCCTGAAATTCTAAATTTTTCTCTAAGATTATACTTCCTTAATTTCTGAAAATCCTTTAATAACTATTAGATTTTTGGAGATGACACTAAAAGGAAGATATGTGAATATTTTACATGGGAAAAATAATCTTTCAGAAGTCTACTAGGAAAGATGGATGTTTCAAATGAGTGAGAAAAATATGAAAGAGACCTGATTTCAAAAATATTCAGAAAGCTCTCCCTCTCAAGGCTATGTTAGGAGAGCAGGATCTTAAACAAATTGTAAAAAGGTTTTACATATACAGTATATATATATAAAAATATATATGTATAATGCTTTTTCATATTTTATATGTATATAATATGAAAAGTCATCATGTATATTGATTTTGCAACCATTTTTATTTGAAAGACATGTATATGGAATTACTCATAGACAATCAATAGGGTCACTAGTTTTTTGACCTCCATTCAAAAGTGTCTGAATCTGAGTCATTTCACATTTGCACATATTGATCTCCACTCTGATTCTACTTCAAAATTAAATCCTTACACTGGGAGGAGTAAAGATTAAAGGCAACAAAAGAAAATACAATTTCATACACGGTCTTTCAACAACAATAAAAGCAATAATATATGAGTGGATATATAGATACTCAAACCGAACAGGGGGAAGGTGAATGGGACTAGACCCATGAATATATATCAGTTTGACAGAGGATATTTCTATATCTATATCTGTATTTATGTGTACTGCAAATATATTCATGAATAGAGTAGAGCATACAGGGACCGAAGTTATAAAAACTTCTTAGCCACAACAAACATCTTAAAGGAATGAGTCACTGGGCCTGACGGCTCAGGACCATAATCTCTGGGAAAATCAAGGTCATTTGGCACAAAATAGTCCACAAAGACAGTGTTCTACATCCTACTTTGGTGACCAGTACTTGAAGTTTTAAAACCTTTTGAGTGACCATCTATGTTGCAACTATTGATCATTACCCATTTAGAGCAAAGAAGAGTGAAGAAAATTAGACACACATACACACACACAAAAAAAAAAAATTAGTACAAAGGACTAGTAGATGATGCAAACACCAGCCTTCAAACCCCTGAGACCAGAGTAGATGGTGATTGGCTATAACTATCAGCAGCTTTGAAAAAGATCATAATAGAAGATCATGGGTAGAAATGGGAGGAAAGTATGGACCAAAATTCAAAATCGTAAAAAATGACCGGACTTTGTGGTCTGATACAGACTTCTGGAAGCCGCAAGATTATGGTCCTTAGACATCCTGAAGATTAGAACCAAACTCACCCCAATGGCTCAAGTACTAGCCAATCAATAAACAGGCCCACAAGGTATGCATTCCTTAGAACAATCATCATAGGAGTTCAAACAAGAAGCTTTTGCCCAGGAATAAAGATCAAAAGGTAGAAAAGAATAGGAAAAAAAAAAGGACAAATGAAAACGGGAAGCACAGGGAAGAAGTTGGAAAACTGTTGTTACATTTACATTGTGGGGTCTGCAATGAGTGGCACAAAACAAAACATTATTCATTGTTGAATGGAAAATTAATTTGATGTGTAGACTTTCACTCAAATCACAATAAAAAGTTAAATTATAACAATAAAAATAAACTGAAAATCATTTCCTTTATTTATTTTGACTCTACTTACTGAACACTTATCCAGGTTTCTTTCTGGGCTTCCCTATGTTTTCCATTCAATTGTTGTATTTTCCCATTTCCATTGAATATGAGGAGTAATGAAAAATATACTATTATATGTAAAAAAATATTTTAGTGAAAGAAAACCAATGCCATCAAAGATGATCAGACTCTAGGTCCTTCACCAAAAATACACTGTCCGTAATCTTAAAAAAAAAAAAGGTGTCCTCATCTTGATCTCCATCCTTACACCTAAGCAACCTCCAACTAACACAGAGGTAAATGGAAAAGGCAGGAGAGTAGATGCTTTTCTGGACATGATGGATGACATTAAAAGCTGATAGTCATAGCATTTCTGACAATGGAGTCATTCATGGTCTTAATGCCATAACAGCACAATAAAATTACCTATAAATATGAAATGGAGAAGATTATTCTGCAATTAAAGAGAAATATTTGCAATAATGCATATGGAAATGAGGGAGTGCAAATGTGTGGAGAATGACTGTAGAACACCACTCCCACAGCTGAGAGTATATAAGTGTCCCAGTCTAGAAGGTAACATTAGAATTCAGAATCTTCTCCCTGTAACTTAGTTGAACTCACATCTCCTATCAACATGTCCTACAACTGCTGCTCTGGACGCTTTTCTTCCCACTCCCTGAGTGGCTGCCGTCGCTACCCAGTTCCCTTCTGTGGCTCTTCCTCCCCCAGCACTGACTTCTGCTCTCTCAGCACTTGTCAGCTGACCTCTTCTCACTACAGGCGCTGTCAGGAGACCTGCTGTGAGCCCAGCTGCTTCCAGAAGTCCCAGGTGGTGTCCATCCCCTGCCAGACATCCTGCTACCGCCCAAGGACATCCAGGCTCTGCAGTCCATGCCTGACGACTTACACTGGATCTCTGGGC